TGAGTGTAAATAACATCCAAACATCATACACTCTTAACCCTTTAAACACTGAGTGTAAATAACATAAAACATCATATACCCTTAACCCCTTGAACACTGAGTGTAAATAACATAAAACATCATACACTCTTAACCCTTTAAACACTGAGTGTAAATAACATAAAACATCATATACCCTTAACCCCTTGAACACTGAGTGTAAATAACATAAAACATCATACACTCTTAACCCTTTAAACACTGAGTGTAAATAACATAAAACATCATATATCCTTAACCCTTTAAACACTGAGTGTAAATAACATAAAACATCATATACCCTTAACCCCTTAAACACTGAGTGTAAATAACATAAAACATCATACACTCTTAACCCTTTAAACACTGAGTGTAAATAACATAAAACATCATACACTCTTAACCCTTTAAACACTGAGTGTAAATAACATAAAACATCATATACCCTTAACCCTTTAAACACTGAGTGTAAATAACATAAAACATCATACACTCTTAACCCTTTAAACACTGAGTGTAAATAACATAAAACATCATACACTCTTAACCCTTTTAACACTGAGTGTAAATAACATAAAACATCATACACTCTTAACCCTTTAAACACTGAGTGTAAATAACATAAAACATCATACACTCTTAACCCTTTAAACACTGAGTGTAAATAACATAAAACATCATATACCCTTAACCCTTTAAACACTGAGTGTAAATAACATAAAACATCATACACCCTTAACCCTTTAAACACTGAGTGTAAATAACATAAAACATCATACACTCTTAACCCTTTAAACACTGAGTGTAAATAACATAAAACATCATACACTCTTAACCCTTTAAACACAGAGTGTAAATAAGATAAAACATCATACACTCTTAACCCTTTGAACACTGAGTGTAAATAACATAAAACATCATATACCCTTAACCCTTTAAACACTGAGTGTAAATAACATAAAACATCATACACTCTTAACCCTTTTAACACTGAGTGTAAATAACATAAAACATCATATACCCTTAACCCTTTAAACACTGAGTGTAAATAACATAAAACATCATATACCCTTAACCCTTTGAACACTGAGTGTAAATAACATAAAACATCATACACTCTTAACCCCTTGAACACTGAGTGTAAATAAGATAAAACATCATACACTCTTAACCCCTTGAACACTGAGTGTAAATAACATAAAACATCATATACCCTTAACCCTTTAAACACTGAGTGTAAATAACATAAAACATCATATACCCTTAACCCTTTAAACACTGAGTGTAAATAACATAAAACATCATATACCCTTAACCCTTTAAACACTGAGTGTAAATAACATAAAACATCATATACCCTTAACCCTTTAAACACTGAGTGTAAATAACATAAAACATCATATACCCTTAACCCTTTAAACACTGAGTGTAAATAACATAAAACATCATACACTCTTAACCCCTTGAACACTGAGTGTAAATAAGATAAAACATCATACACTCTTAACCCTTTAACACTGAGTGTAAATAACATAAAACATCATATACCCTTAACCCTTTAAACACTGA